AATTGTAAACATGGCAGAAGACCTGTTTCTGAACTATGTTGACACCTAAAACTGCATAAGGTCCAGACCCACTATTTTTAAGTTACAGCATATCTAGCAACTTCACAAAAGATGATATAATAAAGGCCAATAATATATGGAATAGTATACACCATCATTAGTCACCAGGAACTTTCAGGTCCAAACCACAATATTTTACCAGTATGGATTTTCTAGAATCACTAAGTCATACTAGAACAAGTAACACACACTGGAGTGGCTAGACCACTCTTCTTGTGCTTTAAATAATTCTCCAATAGTATTCTACACTGACCAAAGTACAGAATCCAAGGTGTAGCTGTAATATGGAGCCTTCCAGGGCTTCTGTCTACTTTCAAAACACTCGGGAAAGTAGGAAAAGCAGCATTCAGAGGTAAGTATTTTGAATGGCTGTCATTAATTTTAAACTCTCACTATTTTAGCTCTCCAGGTGACCAATAGTGAATTTTCAGAAGTGCTAGTTATTGGTGAGGGGAAAGATGTTACTTCCCTGACAGGTGTCACCAGGAGAACTACATCACTAAACCAAAAGCTGGGGTTACACCACCGTATTATTCATATGGCACTTAGCTTTTCTAACTTCCCAGGCTTCTCTATAGGAAGAGTCTGTCACCTGTGCAGGTGCAAGTCCAGGGAATGGAATTCCCCTCCGAGAGTGGGTGATTCTGTAACATGTTTCTCCAGAACATGATTTTTACACAAAGCCTTTTCACCAAAGGGGATAATTAATTCCTGGGAGAGAAAACACAGATACAACACAAGATCTCTCAATCTTTATTGAAACCACTTTAAATATTCTCACAGTTCAAGATGAAAATGTTTTTTATCGTAGTTCGCACAGAGCAACGTTCACCCTGAGTAGGTGGCTCATTTGAATTGTTTTCCTTCAAACTTTCTTCACTGCAGGACCAGAATCAGTGATGCAGGTCATTTTTCTATAGACTATCAAGAGACTCCATTCTACATTTAAACTACAGGATTTCTGTGAAACATTTTTAGGCTTTAGATTTGCAATGGGGCTTCATTTTGGATTTGACATAGAATTTTCCACATAATGTCTTTGCAAATTCATGATTTCTTTCTTAGTGAAATATTCTTATTCCAAGAGGTCATTTGAAGATGAAATTATTTCTAAAAATGCCCATGTATTACTGAAACCATCTAAGAGTATAAAGGTAAGTTTTTTACTTGGCTGTTGCTTATTTACTGTTGTTATTTTTCAAATAAAGTAATTGATACATTTGTCAAATATAGTTACAGGGTGCTGCATCCTCCCTCAAATTCTTAAAAGCTAGCTAGTAAATATCATTAATTAACTTCACACTGGAAAACTGGAGACTCAGACGGGAGGCAATTTTTAAGACTCACTTCTCTAAAATCAAGAAACATTATTTTGTCAGGAGAGATCTCCTTTACTAACCAAGACTGATTCTGATCATGAAAACAAATTTTGAATCCACTCCAAATTTACAAAACATCCATATATTAATATTAAGTGACGGAAGTCATCAACTGTTGACTCCAAGCCCCGATATGGAGACTTCTTTCTGGGAGCACCTGGTAAGAAAATTCCTTGGGGCTTCTACCAATATAAGACGGCGAGGACTTCTCCAGAGCTTATGGCGTGGTAAATGTTTATCTGTTTTATTGCTCAGACTGTGGATTCTGCATCTTTGTTGAACACACTCACGGGTATAGAAATAAAGCAGGTCCCGGAACTGTGGTTTAAGTTTTCACATCACAATCGATTCTTACTACAAATGCAAAGCAGATTCTCAGTCAGACTTCACACATAGTGAGGCTGGTGTGCAATGTGCCAGGCGAGGAACCTGAGGAAGAGAAATCCCAAACGGAAGAGCAAGGGTTAGAACCTCAGCTCCCTCACTCTTGAGGCTCAAACCAACATGCTTAACCTCTCTGACATTTGCTTTAAAATGATCTTGACAGGATCTGGGGTCACAAAATGAGCTGAATGGCATCATTTTCTTACTGTATCATCTTTTGACTACATAGAACATGAATGTTGCCTTTGAAGAACTGTGAATATAATAGCAATCGTGATGGTCCTACTAAACAAGATGAAATTACCATTGTCTGCTATAACTTGACAGCATGGAGAATAAGGTTAAAGTTAGGAATTTAAAGGGAAATATAAATTTGGAATTGGAGGACAAACACTAAAATAAGAATGTGACTGTCATTTTTGGCTCTGCTATTCATTAGCTTTTTGTCCTGAGGCAGAATCTTTGACTTGTTGGGCCTTGTCTCACAAGTCAAATAACTTAAAACAGGTGAGAAATGGCAGGGTTGAACAATGTGTCTTTAGTAAGTATTAAGCCAGTGAGAGTCTGCAGAAACACTCACAACACATGCCGTATCCAGCACTGCTTAGCTAATATCATTGTGACCCTAACGGTAAACATTAGTCTCTGAAGCTTTTTCTCATCTGTGAAGTGGACTAAATAATGTCAAGCACACAGGTTATTCTAAGTATGCAGGAGAACAGTGTGTACCAAGGACTTGGTATCATGGTACACATAAAACATACACTAAATATTTTTAGCACAATATTAACTATATTAATATATTAGACTCAGTGAAAACTAGTAAAATGAATTGACCACAGCTCTTTTGTACTTTCCTTGTATTTTCCTCTCTGTCACCCTGGTACTGTAAACATGAACTGTTGCATATTTAAATAACGGGTGTTCCTGTCTTCGGCAGCCACCTGTCCCTAAGCCTCACTCTGATACACACCAGGGAAGAACTAGATACAGCAGCATCCAAGATTTGCCCCTCTTCACATTTCACGTCACCTTTTTATTCATTTTCTCAGTTACCTTTCGTAGGCCCCCACTTCTTAGGTACGGAAGATAAGGTGGTCTTTGCATTGATGGCTGTGTCATCTGCTGCCTTCTTAGGCATAGCTTCCCCCATGTTTGAAAAATATTGCTTCAGTTTAGTCTCTCAATCTTCTCAGGCACTCAAGCACACTTCATTGGGCTTTTGTCTTGTGTGTTTGCCAGAGCTCCTCCTGTATGTCCTCTACAGAATCTTCATCCAGGAGAACAACTAGCTTTATCAACAACTTCGATTTATCTGAAAAAATGAAACAAAGCAAAAAAACCCAGAATACAATTTCATAATTCAATAGAATCTAGACATATGCTGTTTCCTAAGTTGAAGATTAATAAAGTCAAGGTCTATTTACATTTTTTCAGGTACTATAATTAACTTCAACATCAAGTACATGGCGAAGAAAAACAATGTGACAGAGTTTGTTCTACTGGGGCTCACGGAAAACCCAGAGATTCAGAAAGTCATACTCACTGTGTTTTCCCTCATCTACACCATTTCCATGGTAGGAAATTTACTCATCCTCGTCACCATCACTGCCAGCCCACTACGGAGGCCTCCTATGTACTTCTTCTTGGCCCATCTCTCCTTTATTGATGCTTGCTACTCCTCAGTCACAACCCCAAACGTGATTATAGATTCACTCCGTGAAAAGAAGACCATCCTGTTCAGTGGATGCATGACCCAGATCTTTGCAGAGCATTTCAATGGCGGTGCTGAGATCATCCTGCTGACAGTGATGGCCTACGACTGCTATGTGGCCATCTGCAAGCCCTTGCACTATGCAGTCATCATGAGCTGGAGAGTGTGCAGCCTGCTGGTGGGAGTGTCGTGGGTGGGAGGCTTCCTTCATGGGGCCATACAGATTATCTTCATCCTGCCACTGCCGTTCTATGGCCCCAATGTCATAGACCACTTTATGTGTGATCTGAACCCTCTGCTCAAGCTGGCCTGCACTGACACCCACATGCTGGGGCTCTTCGTTGCCGCCAACAGTGGTCTCATCTGCCTGTTGAATTTCCTGCTTCTCCTGGTCTCCTACATGGCCATTCTCTTCTCCTTGAAGACCCACAGCGTGGAGGGGAGGCAGAAAGCCCTCTCCACCTGTGCTTCCCACATCACAGTGGTTGTCTTGTTCTTCGTGCCATGCATATTTGTGTACATGAGACCCACAAAGACTTTATCCATTGACAAAGCAGTTGCTGTTTTCTACACCATGATAACTCCTATGTTAAATCCTTTGATCTATACTTTGAGAAATGTTCAAATGAAAAATGCTATTAGGAATTCTTTTGGTAGGAAAGTTTGCTCAGGTGACAAATAGATTTCCCTTGAGCCCAACATTTATTTCAAAGATGATAGGCTTAATGGGAAAATATTTTATTATCTCACTAAGGAATACTTATAGGACATATACAAACATACTGCCATTCATAGATTTTGCATTAAGCTTGCAGAAAAGAAATGTTAGACATTGTAACGCAGGGCCACTCTTCGTATATTTGGAAAATTCTACCCAGTCAGATAGTTTTGCTATCTTCATTCATGTAGGTAGATTCATAGGCTTTCTTTCTAATAAAAGATAAAGTAAGTAATAAAATGGGTTGGTATTAAGAAGTAATATCTACATGACTCACAAAAGGTAAGCAGTGCTATTGCTCATCTTACTCTGTGAAAACACTGTTAATAGGAGAATTCTCAAAATATGTATTGTTCTGAGTCAGAGACCATAATATGACTGTTTTTTAGGCTGTACTCTCTGCTCCTAGGTCACTTCCAAGAGTTGATGATATGGTAGTGACCATTTTTGAAAGAAGACTTTTTGCTGGGCACATTGTACATGGTCGTTGCTTATCTGTAGATAAAATCTAAAAAGGTTCAGTAGTATCTCTTGTGACTTTACACGTTACATTGATGGTCATTTCTTTGCAGTAGCTATAGTATCTGTGGCGGTAAAGCTTAAATACAAATGTGGTTGGCTTGAGAGCAACCTAGAGGATTAGAAAGTTCATTTTTGGCTGTGGTATGATGGGTCACTGTGGCCTAACCTTGAGTAACGTGTCTGTCTGCCTTTTTCCTGCTGGTCCTCCTCCATCTGCTCCCCTGGGGCTTTGATCTAAGCCATGTTATTCCAGCACAGTTTCTGCAGTGAGTCCTTACCTTGGAGCTAGCTGGCCTTAGTCTGAGTCATCTGAGGCTTTGGACAAAATTAGCCTTTTCTCTTTTAAGTGGCAGGTGTCATGTAGTTTGAATACATAGTTTCTGTGGGCCGAGCCTGAAGGTGGCGCTTCACCTAATCCCTACTTGCTTTCTCCTTCGTACATTGCAGAGTCAAACAGACTTGACTGCTATTGTAGACCCTGGATAGCACAGTCCCAGGTGACAGTGATACTGTGTATCCTTCGCTGTTCCCTTCCTGAACATGCCCTGGTCACCAAACAGGCGTGCTATGTTCTGCCTAGGCTACACAGGCCTTGTAGAACTATTTGCCCTGCCTTCCCCTCCTCCTTGCCCTCCAGTATGAATAGAGAGCACCTGGCGTTCTCGCCCGCCATTGGCTCTCCACAAACTTCAAGAATAATCTTGGCCTCTTTGTCAGCTTTTCATGGTTAACCACCGCTGTCCCCAGCTTTGGACCCTATGCTGTGCGGGTCTTGGTAAATAGTAACAGAAAGTGTGCTCATTTTTGTAATTATACCTAAGTGTTTTGGAGGCCTTGGAATTGATTCTGAGGAAGAGTTTGGAAAGTTTTAGAAATGAAAGCTAGAGAAGCTGTAGAATGCTGAAGGCAGAGCCCAATGAGTGATGCTAGTTACAGCTTAGAAAACAAGAATGAGGACAAAAATGTGCACCATGAACGTCAGGCTGAGGAAGTTTCAACTGGGAACAAGGACTCCACTGGCAGTTACATTCTGACAACAACAACATAAAAAAAATGATGTTTACATGTTCCCCAAATCCTAAGACTTTGCAGAAGATTGAGATTAAGGTCAGTAGACCAACTTGTGAAGACCATCTCAAAGCAGCCCAAAATCAGGCTGTGGCATAACTAATGCTGACTGCTTTCAGACAGGTGTACAATGAAAACTAGGGACAAAAAAATCAGAGCAAAAAAGTTTAAAAAGTTTAAATATTGATCCAAAATAAACTGTGTATAAAGTTGTGGCTAAGAGAAGTATGGTTGCTGAAGAGATTAATGCCATGCAAAAGAAAGTGAGTATTTTGTACAGCCACAAGGTGAAAGAGGTCTTGAGGGCATCTCAAAATCAGCAAAACTCCACCCACTGTAGCCGAAAAGAAAAGTGTCAAAGCTTCATTAGAGAAGAGACCCTGGCACTCGCATTTGAGAAGGGCCTCCCAGGGAGTCGGTTGCCTGGGATTCATTTCATGCTGCTCAGATACTCGGGCCCTCGGTGTCCACTCCACGGGGATCTGACTAAGGCTCAGGCTGACGGCAGAGGCTAGTGTCACCCAGGTGGCGATGGTTCTGCCAGTGCGCAGAAGGCAAGAGACAGGAAGACCTCCATCTAGATTTCCAAAGAAGTCCTAGGAGGCCAGAAAAGAGGTCTCTGAGAAGGCAGGCTATGAATCTATGGTAAGGAAATCAAAGTTAGAAGGGAGCCCAAAGGTAGAGGCTTCAGGAATGTGAATATCCACAGAGCAAAGCTGCAGGCCTCGGTCAGAGCCAACCCAAGAGGAAAGCATGAGGGTGTGGCCCTCAGCAGGGTGCGCTCCGCCGCTCCTTTTCCTTCCAGTGTGCCTTGGGTGCTGGATCAGGAGCTTCAGGAGCTCAAGTTTGCCCTGTTAGGTTTCAGCCTGAATTGGGGCTGGTTACTTTCTAGCTCCCTGTTCTTTCCTTTTGGAATGAGAGTGTTTACCCCAGGCCTTTCAGGCCACTGTACAAAGGTTATAAACTTGTCTTCCATTGTTGCAGAGGTTCAAAGCTAAGAGTTTTCCTTGGGTCCCCCCGCCCATGACACAAACAGCTTTTTACTGAAAGGTGAGAGTTTGCATTTGGCATGCTTCTGCACCCGTCATGTGATCTCTGAGGCTGGGGGCACACTGCTAATGTCAGACCTGAGCTCCTGTGTCCTTGGTTTGGGAGCAACACATGCCACACTCAGGAGGCCTGTTAGTCTGTTTCTCTTATGGCTGATCTCATACACAGTTGTGCGCGGAGAAATGCTGGAAACTTCGAGGCTTTAGGCAAAGGGTTATCATGCTATAAATGTGGGCAGTTGAGCTCATAATTTTCCGTTAGTTTTTGGCCCCATTTCTTCATTCAAAATTGCTTCTAATACCACATAACTCTGTTTACACACAAAATAATTTCTAGATTAAACATTTTTCATTCGGTTCTTACTTCACTCTTAAAATACATGTAGGTGGAAACTTCGAGGCTTTAGGCAAAGGGTTATCATGCTATAAATGTGGGCAGTTGAGCTCATAATTTTCCGTTAGTTTTTGGCCCCATTTCTTCATTCAAAATTGCTTCTAATACCACATAACTCTGTTTACACACAAAATAATTTCTAGATTAAACATTTTTCATTCGGTTCTTACTTCACTCTTAAAATACATGTAGGTTTTGACCCAAGGATTACTGATAGTTTCTGGGAGCATAGAAGTGAATAGACAGACACCAGAGATGTTTGTTCACAGAGCATAGACTGAGAGAGTATTTTAGGGAAATTTAACCAGCCTCATAAGAACAAGAGAATTGATTTAATACTCTAACAGACAGTTAAAAGCAATCAAAGATCAAACAGCTATCCTTAGCCAAGTATAAAATCAATAGTTTGTTTTATATATTAATAGTGAATGTTTTGAACTAGAAATCAAAAGAGCAATCCTGTTCACAACAGAAAAACAAAACAAAACAAAACAAAAAGCAAAACAAAAGAACCAACCTAAGAAAAATTGATCCAAAGGAGTGAGTGACACTTATATTGAAACTTACAAGTCGTTGATGAAAGAAATGGAAGAGGATCCAACTTATGGAAAGACATCTTGTGTTCAGGGATTGAAAAAACCAGTATCATTAAAATTCACTGACAACCCCAAATAATCTACAGATACAATGCAATTGCAATCAAATTTACCATGACACTCTTTGTAGACCTAGGGAACAAAAAACACCTACTCTTATGTGGAACCACAAAATATTCTGAATAGGCAAATTGCTTGAGCAAAAATAACAAATTAGAATCCATTACGTCAACAGACTCCAAAATACACTTCAAAGCTGTGATAATGAAAACACTTACTTAATGTCCAGCTTGGTGCCTGAAACTCAGTGGGGTTTCCATAAATAACTCCTGAGGGCTGGGGTGTAGCTCAGTGGTGCCCCACCTGCCTGGCAAGCACAAGGTCCTGAGCTCGATCCCCCATATTAAAACAAACGAACAACTGAAAAGAACACAACTCAACTCCTGAGTAAATAGAAGGATCCACTGCAACTGTATGGGATTGGCCAGTTGTCCTGCACCACTTTCAACCTTCTGACCTTTTAAAACCCATTTCCTGCTTTAGAAAGGTTTTGGCCTTGACTCCTCCTCCTCGTTCCAACTGACCCCATTTTATCCCATCTTCTGGCCTCTTTGTGTGTCCGTGTCCTTTCCTGGTCCTCTCTCAGATCTATGCTGTGTGTCCCTTTAAAATTGTTGAGAGTAATTTCATAATTTCCACCATCCACAAAAAATTAGTGATGTGCTGGATAAGTAAATGAGCTGATTTAGTTATTCCACATTTTCATCTACCATCTCTCTATCCACCCATATGTCCCTATCACTTTATCATGTTAATGCATAAATATGTACAATCATAATTTGTCAGTAGAAAGATGTACACTGGACTGAAGCAAAGTATTTATTCATGCCATTATTTCCTGAAAAAAATTGGAGCTTAATAAATGCTTTTGTAATAATTGAAGAATTTCTCTTAAATACAGTTCACTGGTGTTTGCTAGATTCTCACGTGTACATAAGAATGTGTACTAAGTTGTCCAGATCCGTCAAGCACTTTCTGAAATCCAATCTCATGTTCCTTGTCTGCCTTCCCAGGAGGAGTATTTAACATTAACAACGTAAAATGCATGAGACTGGGGAAAGTCATTTTCTAAAGGGTCCCTTTCCTCCCAATTAGGAAACATGAGCCGTGTTTGATATAGAAATTATTCTTCAATTTGCCTTCTTCAGTTTATGGGAAAAACTGATACCATGTACTTGTGATCGAAGGTATTAATTTAGACAATGTATTGTGTGTTTTAACTAAAATAAAATGAAACATTGATGGCATCGGAGTAGCAGGGACACTATGGGGGAA